ACGCAGTATGGCCACAGCCTCCATCAGACAAAGCACCTGAAGCCACCACAGGCAGTGGTGATAGGCAGTGTCCCACTCCTTGAAGGATCTCTGCCATAAGCAGCATCCTGACACCAGATTTCCAAAGCTGCCTTTTTCAACCACCACTTTGCAATTTGGAAAGCACAAATGCTAACTAATCATGTGAAGTGCCAGGTAGGAAGCCAATGCCTATGGGAACAGCATGAAAATCATACCAAATGCTTCTCAAAACTAACATCCATTGAATCATGATAAAAGAACTTTGCATTTTACTTACAAATAACAAAGTTGTGCACAACAATCGTAAGGAAACATTGTTGTCATTAAGAGTTTATGTTTTAAAAGGTGACAATCCCATAATTAATCCTATGGAGCTACAGACCCACCTGCACAAAGTTCTTCACAGGTCAGACATGTCCCCTTACAGAAGATAACATATGTTGTTGTTTTACCTTTTTCATCTCAAATTTAGCAGCCATTTACAAACTTGTGATCAACGATTTCCACATACATTGTTTGTCCATTTATTTCAGACAATACATTGTTGGGGTTTTTTTAATTCTAACAAGAATGTTAATCTAGCTTCAAAGGTAAAGAGAAATAGTGCTGGCTGCTTTGTTCTCCCTTTAGTCATGCCAAACAGCAGTTGCTAAAAAGGTCACAAAATATGTATAAAAACAAGTTCCACCAGGAACTCCAAAAAAGGTCCATATCTTATTCCAAAATTGAATCATTTTGCACCATGATGTTTATGTCTTCTGTTGCAAGGAGGGATTTTGGTAGAGGGCAACAGCTGTGTTTTTCTGCATCAAGAATCAGAGCAACAGGACAGTATAGTCAAGGCTACATTCAAAAGAAAAATACTCCAAACAAAGGTTGCATTTGTAACCTTGATTCTTAAAATTTTGAAATTAATTTATGCCCAAATTCCACAGGTTTCTTGGTGAAAGTAAACCACAATGCACCACCTATGAAAGCAGGAACTCCTACTTTCCTACTCCATCATATACACAGAGACTAAAATACACTGAATATATAAATCCTGCAAACTGGTATTTTTCATATTAGACTTTGCAAGAGATTAGTGCTAATTTAGCTGGTTTGTTGGTTTTGGGGTTGGTTTTTTTTTTTGGGGGGGGGGGTGTTTAACAGTAGCTTCCCCAAGGACTTCTGTGGCAGTAGAAACAAGTTCATTTGTGTTTTAATTAAAAAGGGAAAAACTGATCCCATTATGAGCAACTGCAACACCAAGTCACCATACATCAAGGTTTAAGCTTCTATCCATTATCAGGAAGCAAGAACACACAACCTCAGCTACAGGATTGAGACTCCTACCTGCTGCTAACCTCAGCTAGACCACAAGAAGGGATGACTCTGGAATAATGACTGTGCAACCCAGTCACATGTTTGCTTTCTCTCATTCTTTTCTCCCCCATTCCCTTCTTCACCCAGGTAAAGAAGGGATGAAATAAAGAGTCACTGGGGACCATGGGCCAGTCCCAAAGTATCTGACATGTGAAGAGACCTAACTCAGCACCCTCACCCCCCATCACAACAGCTGCCCTCAAGGTTCACAAGCAAGGAAAGGAAAATGGCAATTTCAGAAAAGTACGTCTTTAAACGACTGGCCAACCAAAAGGCTCATCTTGGTCTCAAGGCTTTCTCTCAGGGCTCTCTATCCCAAATTTCAAAGGCCTGCTGCAGACAATAGAGGCGATAAGAGCTTCTCAGGAAGGGTTTGCATTAATTTTATATAATGGGAAACATTAAGCAAGCTAACTTAAATACAGAGGTCACTAGCAAATTCTTCTAAAACATGAAGGAACAAATTGTTCTTGAAGCTCTGCATAGCATCTGGCAAAATATATTAGCAATTTTTTTTTTAATGTGGTAATACATTTCAGCTGCCCCTTTGGGTTTATCTTGATACTGAATATTATGCAATTATTTCTTGAAGGAAGCAAACTGCTTACATGCAAATATATTTGCATAAACTACAAGTAACAAGATATGCACTGAATTTTACAACTTCAATGTACAGATCATTTTTATAAAGCACCACAAAAATTCAAAGTTAGCTCAAATTTCTGAATTAAAATCAGAATGTAAAGTAAGATTCGAAGGAACTACACTCACTTGCACAAAGCCATGCTTTGTTCTTCTACCTAATAACTAACATTACCAGTATTATCTTAAGTTTTACAAAATATTTAATGTTTAAAAAAAATCAAAGAAATTGACCTTAGAGTTTAGGAAGTCTTGTCAGAATCACTTAATATAAATACCATGGATCCTTTTTCTGTCAGCCATCAACAGCAACCAGAATAGATACACATGAAGAGTGGACTGAATACACCAGCTTTTTTATTGGATCACAATGAGCAACATGCCAGATACTCACTTACTGATTGCTTTTTGGAAATTGTTTTGGAAACAACGGATCATTTACTTGTGCTCTCCCCCATTCTAAAAGAGAAGAAAATTAAGTTTCTAAAAAAAAGAAAAAAACAAAGACTAGTAATTTTCTACACTCTAAATGTATCCATCAAATTCTTCACAAGGACTGTCTCTAGCTGTGTGCTATTGAATCATTTAGGCAATGATGAACAAAAAGACATGCTTTTGTTCAAATCACACACAGTGGGATTACATGTGAACTGACCTTCCATGTGTTAATTGAAGACAAAGCTTTGCTTTGAGCTCATTACTACTCTTACAGACACACTGGCAAGTTTAGAAAGTTTAGTATATCTCTCAATTTCCAAATCTAGGTAGTTTGTTTTAAATAAGCCCAGGTTTCACTAGTTTCATCATTACTTTTAGCAAGAAAGAACAAAAATAGTGTATGTGCAAAGAAAGGGATAGGGAGAAAGAAAACAGAACACAAACACATCTTTGGCAAGTTCACAACAATTTTGTAACATTTTTTACAGACTTTAATAAAGAAACAGCAGGCAAGTTTTCCACCTAAATATATTACTCAAGGTGTCTTGAAAAAAATATAAGTAGCCCTTGGTAATAAAAAGACAGATCATTTCCCCAGTTTTCACCAGGGGTTTGATATTTTAGAGCCACTGACATGAAGAGAAGCGTAATTATGTCTTAATTGAGATTTTAAATAGTACATTTCAGAAAGCAAAACAGAACTATCTTGTTTTATTAATATTTTTAGAGAACACACTGGGTTTCTGAAACATAATTAAAAGCTATTTTGAGACTGTAGCACAAACCCAAACTTGAACATATTTCTAGTCTCCACATTATTTCAGGAATTCACTGTTCCAAGGATTTGAGTGATAAGATGAGAAATGGGAAGGGAAAGGGGAACTACAGGAATGTTTGTACTTCCTACACTTCTGCCTAATCCTGCCAAAAAAAGTGTTCTAGATTGTCATGTCACCAATATTGTAATTTATGTTACCAAATAATAACCAGATTATTAGGAAATGTGCCCAGTTTAGAGAAATAACTATGAAATTTCAAACTTTGGCAGCAAAATACACATCAAAATAGCACGAGCAAGCACTTCTGTTTCATTTTTTTTATTAATATTAAACAAATAGGAACTGCCAGCTAAAGCCAGTTCTCTTGCTGTTCCTATCCAGTGGGAGAACAGTTTGTTATAAATTAACCCAGGAATCTTCCCTCTAAAAAGAAGCTCTAGTATAGGAAGCCAAACAGCGACAAAAAAAAGCTGCTAAACTTCATGAAAATAATATTTAAGAGATTACCCCAGATTTGGTAAATCCTGGCAAACACCAAGTGTTTAGAACTCCTTTCAACTTTAACATCACCACCACTCAGCAACCAGCAGGATGCACTCAGCAACACACAGAACCTGTCCTTGTTTTTATTTGGTGGCATTTAAAAAAGCACAGCAACTGAGAAGTATAAAAATTTGATATTTTATTCCCAAATAATCTCCTTGACAAGTAGGTAGCACTCTCTAACATCAAATAACCAACTAAAGAGTAAGGGTACATACTACAATAAGCACTCAAGCTAAAAAGGACATAGTCAAGGAAGAGATGTGGAAATAAAAGCTATTCAACAAATGCCAAGAACAAAAGAGCTATCATTTTATAGAGCCATATTCCTCATCTGTGCTTTTACCCTGAATCAAAAAGGTAAAAGTTACTCAAAACCAACTAAAAAATTATCTTACTGTCTGTAAAACAAGATATTGGTAGCTGCAACAACTTTTTACTGGAAATTTCAATGTAGTATGTGCTTGTCCTTATTCCCAGTGAAACCAATAGACAGTAACACGTGATCTGTAGTGATTACACATACTCAGGACTTTGCTCAAACATTGCAGCATGAATGCACAGCTGCATGAAAATTTTTTGAAAAAAATCATTAAAAAGGGCATATATCAGTTTCTGTGATACACAAAACCCCCACTGAAGTAAAGAGGTTGAGAATAATAATTTTTATAAATTCAGACATGAAGTGAAAACAGCACCCTCATGACTCTGGTCCTTTCGGAGAATATAGCTCCATGATATATGGCCTCCAGCAGATAAGCTAGTTTTTAAACAGCTTTCTGTTCCCATCCTGGAAGTGTAGTTCAGCACCTTCACAGGCTGCTGATACAGCTGTTCACCAGCTGTGCTATGAAATCACCAAAATGGTCACTTAAAAACAGATACTTTTAACCTAGATCATTTCAGTGACCCAGTTTTACAGAGCAGCTTCATAAACAGTACAGGCACAAGAGAAAATGACAAAAAGTTCTCACATCCTTGGTGAAGTTCTTACAAAGAGGCACCTCCCCTTTCCCCCAAAGGAAAACACAGGTTGCAATTACATCCTCAAAATGCAAGAAAACCACGTGCACTGAAAGCATACACAAGTCCCCTATCTTAAGTCATCTTTCAGATTTGCCTTGAACTGGTACCTTGATTCCTCTGGTACCTTAGAATGACTATATGCCACCTAGTGCATCATTCATAGCCAAGCAAATAGAAATAACTTACCAAACGTCTAGCAAATTCTTTATTTTCTGAAAGAAATCCATATCCTGGGTGTACCTTGGGGAAAAAAATTCAAGATGATTGAGTTCTGAAGCCAGACACCAAATTTGTTAGTGCCTTTTCAGACACTGGAGAAGGTAAAGTAGACTACTAAGCACTTAAATTAGTTTAATACCTTAAGAAACTGTCTTAATGCTTTAATTTATCTGTCCTAAGTCAAGCTGTAAAGATTAATTTGTTGAACTGTCATTCCTGAAACACTCATTCCTTACTCAACTAGGGAGAAGGGTGCTGTTTGCAGAGCAATGGACACACTCCCTTTGGTGTTTTGCCTTCTGGTTTTTTTAACTCCATTTTGTCACATTTATCTCATTGCTCATTCACATTCTACTCAGCAACCATTATAAAGTGCTCCTCACTCCAACATCTTTCTAGTATTGATCACAACAGTCATCTTAAGGTCCACAGCCATAAGCCTCCTACTCCTAGTGACCCTTGCTGGAGAACAGAGTCTAAGTCATGCCTCCTTACATGCCCAGTTTGCTATTCACACCCCAATACACACCTAATATAATTACTTGAGAAAAGCGTGGCAAAGTTTTCATTTTACTTTTCACAATTCGCATCAGATTCTTGATCCAATATACTCTGAGAGACAAAGCATAAGTCATTTTATTCTCCTCTTAAGAACCCTAAACTGGGTTCTATATTTAGAAACTCAGAAGGAAGGAAAAAGTTTTTTCTTTAGAGGAAAGTTTTTGGCCCCTGAAAGCACTATACCAAATCATCATCTTTGAAAGGTATTACAATGCTGATCCAAACTGTTTCAGAGTAATTAGTGTCACTCATATACGCACATTTCATTTTAATAAATGCTCTATGTATACTATCTCTGAAGAATACATTTATTTCACTGACAGAACAAAGAACATTAGGCATGTGAACACGACTACACATCAAGTTTTCCAACAAATTTCTGGTAAGCTTTGAATCTCTGGCCAACTTGATGAGACAAAGGCAGAAAAGCCCATATTTATACATAAATGCTAAGTGCATTTTGTAAATGTTCTGAAACAAAAATAATGATGGGATGCATCGTTTGCTTTACCTTCTGGCAAATGACATTTATATAATTTAGAAAGTGATTCAAACTAAGTTTAAGCAGAAGCCTTTTTAGACACACTCTAAAACATTCCCAAAAGCCATTATGGCATATAAAGGGTTAGTGCTCAAAACTAATTGGGATTTTTTTTTCCCCCAGCAAATTTGGAAATGAACTGAAGCTGCTCCCTGGTGTGAAAGCTGAATCCAGCAGCCACCTGCAGGATCAGCGACCACTGCTGCCAGATGCTACAAAGCCTTTGATTTCCAGTAGCGATTTCGGACACATTTAACTCATGTGACATGAACTAACTGGAATGGCATATTCAATCACTTCCCCCCCACACCTTTTTAAAAAAAAAAAAATACAAACTCTGGCTTTTCTGCTTTCTGTATGTGAAACAGCTGCAGCAGATAGACTCATTCAGACTCACAGCTTGGGCCCTGGTTTTCTTAATGACTTCCATGATGGCATCCATGTTGAGGTAGCTTTTGCTGGTGGGAGCTGGGCCAACACAGACAGCTTCATCCGCCATTTTCACATGAACCTGAAGAGGCAATATTCTGCATTAACAGATGCTCCCAGCAAAAATAATTACCATCATCCTGAAATATGCACACAAATCTGATTGTTTCAAAGACAATTTACATACCATAACCACTCTAAAATACACACTGAAATTATCAACACTGACATACAAGAACTCACACAATAACATTACACCTCATTGCATTTAACTCCGAGCTTAAGTCACTGTCAAAATGTTTTATTATTCCAATAAATTATTTTGAATTTGACTAAATAAAATCATGACAAATAATTTCTAATTTCAGCTTCCTATACTGATCATCTATATGTAAATTCAGACTAAAAACTACTTTGTTACATGTAACCAGGGTAGTCTAATATCTTAATACTTAATAACAAACATTCATGACCAGTTCTAAGCAGGCTCCCCAGGAAGTTGGGGATAATTAGAGTGAATTGAATGAAGGGATGCAGTGAGTGTCCCTGCACAGCATCAGGTCAGCACCATGCACAAATTAAAGCCTATGACTAAAGAGTTCAATATCACTATACATGAACCAGAAAATCTTGAGAATTATTTAAGCAGGCTCATGTTTGATTCTTAATCCATTGTATCCACATTCATATGCATTTGCCAAACATTTTTTAGTCAAACCTGAACTATACAAAAAAGAAACATTTCCAACATTTTACTTAGAATAATAAAATAACAAATTAGGTTTGAAGTTAGATTTCTACTTACAACTCATATGCACACTTACTTGGAAGAAAAAGTTACAGAAGTTTACATGTTTTCAGAGTTCAGGATACTTTTCCTTTAAATATATACACAGATCCAAGAAACAAAAACAAAAAAAAAATCATTTTTCTCATTCTGCTCTCCTTTTGTAGGTTTGTAACCTCCTTTTGTAACCTCCCTTTCAGTATGTATTTAAGAAAGCATGCCATTGCTTAAACTGTGTAAGATTATATTAGCTATATTTCAATAAGACTTGTTTATACTGACAGTTTGACATTTCCAACGTTTACCAATTTTAGAAGTTATTTTTATGGAGCATTTTATATCATCCTTCAGCATTCAAAACTGAGAATATGTTGTTTAAAAAGGTTATTCTTTTAGAAAATGAGTATTCACATATGTGAAACATTTTTAGCTTATGAACATCAAATTTTGTTCTTTGTGAAGAGTAATTTTATTTACAAGTAACATGAAGGCTGTCAAGTATGACAAACTAAGATTAGAAGTATTGTAGCCTGCATATCCTATTGCCTCATGCAGAAGAGACAAGGCCAGCACAAGAGTCACCTAGAAACACTGACAAGCAGTAGTCAAACAATATTTTGAATAATACCATAAGAAATAAATATTCAGGTAAGTATAACAAGTATTTATAACAAGCACAGGAGTCACTTACTAAGCATTTTACTTTTTTCTTCATCTCTAGTGACATTTTTCTGAACTTCACGAAAGCTAATCCTACCACCAGGAAGAAAAATTAACTTGCCACTTAGTTCCAAGTTCCTTTCTGGGTGTATCTCTTAAAAGACCTTCTGAATTTGCTGTATACTCAAGGATCTAAGAGTTCACATAACCTCCTGGAATTGTCACATATTTCACATTTGAATTATTGCTTCTGTAAAGTCACGGTGACTTTATTTTACCACTACAGCATCAGCCTCACATTAAAAACAAAGCAAAACCAAAAAAACCTCTAAGCACTATCACAGACAGTCATGCAGCAGGATTTTAATGCTTTTTCGTAAGTAAACTTCAGTCAATAATCTATTTTGATTAAGCGCTATCAAGATTAGCCTGTCTCATCCTTCCTGGAGCACTAAGTACAAGAAACAACACAGCCCTTGGATACTCCTTATTTGCATGATCAATTTATATGCTTAAAGTTGTTATTTTGAATTCCAACATGGTTTACTTGTCTAAACAGAGTTATTCAAGTTTAAGCATAGTTAAGTACACGTTTTACAAAACCAAAAGCTTCTTTATAGAAAAGGACTAACTTAAGATAGTTGGCTATGTTTAGGTATCAAGAGGAAAACCCCACACCCACATACTTCTCACACTGAGACATCAATAGTCTTACTAGTACCAGAAGTAGTGGCAGCAGATACTGCAAAACCACTGATTTTATACATGTGAACAATCTTGTGCAGTTTTCCCCCACCATTGTGTCTCCCCTTCTGAAACATTTTGTTGCTACTTCAGCTCTTTGGAGTTTTGACACCTCCCTGTTCCCACATTCCCCTGTAACCTGGCAAATCTGTTTCTCCTTATTTACCTTACTGCAAGTCCTTAGTGTCTTATGCAGTTCAGTGCCAGTTCAGCCTTGCATACACCCTGATATACCACACATGGACATAACAAAACCACAAAACAGTAGCCATAATTCACATTACCTGATACACTGCCACACAACACCAAGCAAACCTCTCAAGGGCAAGAAAGAAGTCTCCATTCCTCCCCACTAGCTCAAAACCTCCGGATTTTCAGGTTCCAGTGACAGCTCTTCAATCTGTGAATCTCTCTCACACCTACTTTTTTAAAAATTATTAAACCAGTCCACATATAATCTGGAAATGAGAGATCTGTTTCTTCTCAGTAATTCATTATGACAATTCCCCTCTAAGTATTTAATTTATTTCACAATGCACTGTAGTTCATGATGAATACTCCAAATACCATAACACAAATACACTACAGAATCTGCAGTATAATATATAGAAACAATTATACTAGCCATAATTACTAACAAACATTACAAAAGCCATTCTTTGAATCTATACTAGCAAGTAGCACATAATTCACACCACAACTCCATAAACCTTTTCTTCTGCAGAAGCAGACTTATAATGCAATATTTTTAGACAGTCCAAAGAATCCAGCAACTCCTTTTCCTCAAGCACTGTAAGTTCCAAATATATTTATTTTAAAAACCAGGGGTTGCTAAAGTGCTTGATTTAAATCACATAATCCTAGGTATTCAACACTTGTTCCTAACCTACTAGAGCTAAAACTTCAGAAGTGCAATTTCTCTTTTCTGTTTTAGTTTACAAAAACAATGTCAACAAAACAAAGAAGCAAGTCCCAGGAGGTTCTTGAAAAAAATGCAGTTCCTTCTTAAATATTAGAATTGACCCTGCAAGCTCAAGCATGAATGGGTAACAACAAAGGCTGGAAAAGCAGACAAGCCTTAAAGTGCTAAATGGTTTATACTGCAAGTTTTAATCATATTGGGCTACCTGTGCCTCAAAAGATACTTTTCAAGTAGCTGCAAGGACCTGTTATGTTAGAGAATACAGATTACTAGAAATCATGAACAGACACATCTTATTTGTGTAACTGGAGTTTAATTTCTGTAAAAGTTGTATAAATTAAGTAGTATATTTCATAAGAGAATTATATTGCAGTAACAACAGAAATAAGACAAAAGATTCACCAGAACCTACTGAATCATCATTTTTATAGAACCTCCACAGAACCTCCACTTTACAGACTAAACTGAGTCATCCAAGTCCCTATATAGGTTTGTCACACCTTTGGAAATCCAAACCCAAATCAGTAACAAGCACTCAACCAACCCACCACAGCCTCCTCAGCTGTGCATTTATGACAAACAAGCTACTAATCTTATTCTGGATTTAACAAGGAGTCCCAGCAGAAGAACACTAGAATTAATACTGTGAAATAGCGTAACTACTTTTGAATTAAAATACAAAGACAACTGGACACAATTTGAAGTACAACGATTTTACTGCAAAACTCTTCACGACCACAGATACAAGAACTAGCTCGAGTCCAATAAGCTTGTTAATTCAGAAGCAAACTGCACAAAAGTGGCCACCTGGTTCCATAGGTCTAGGAGCCAGCTTCATGGCAAGGCACCTAAACCAGTAAACCCTGCCAGATCTTTACAGGGGAACAGCTTTGTGCTTCTTCACCATGTTCCCAGCGAACAGGCATGTAAAGCAAGGAGTCCATCAGGCATTTTCAGCTCCGAGCGGTTCCAAGCACAGCTCCAGGCTGCAGCAGCTCAGAGCTGAGACTGCGATAAGGTGTAATAACAGCAGCAGCAACTGGGTTTGGAGATCCTTCTCCTACATGACATTTCAGTATTTCAGGAAGATTTATAAACCAGGTTTGGTGCCAAGGCTTGGCATCATATCCCAGCAGAGAAATAGGTCCATAACAAAATTCTGGATACAAGCAGCACAAAAATATTCAGTATCTGCTTTGCAGGAGAAAACCCGATTTAGAAGGACAGTACTGAATCAGAGCTAGTAAGTACCCAAATTACCTAGATTACGTGAGCTCTCCTTTACCCTGGAGAGTAGCCCATGTACTCATTTGACAGCAGCATGCTCTCTTGCCCAGCCATACTCTGAATTTACTGAATTATCCCCTTAATCAAACCTGTATCTCAAATAATAATCACTTTGAGAGACCAAAATTAATAGCTTACTACCTAAAATACACACAGCACTCCTACAGATGTTCTGTTTAACAGAACATGTCAAGGTAACTTTTTCTAGGAGTCATTCAGCTGCTGCAGATTGCTAGTTGAAATCTATATTATAAATAAGACACATTTGCATCTACATGCCCTCAACATTCGAACACAAAAGCTTTATTAGTATGGAAACAGAATGTATGAAAAATAATTTAAAGGCAAAGAACTAAAACACTTATTTTCAGTAGATATGCAACCTAATAAACAAAGACACTAAGAAAGTTTACAGATCCCTAACATCATAATTACTCAGCAACTCCAGAGTTTATAACCTTCTTAAGGATCTGACTCATGACAGAAGTGCTTTTCTCGCCAATTTGTTTTATAGATACTCATCTACTAATTCCAAAAAGTAAAGGCTGATTTTGTCATGAGAGTCAACAGAAGAAGATACATCTATGTGTTTCCTAATAGAGTGCATAGTACCACCCTGGTAGTTTCCACAGATTATTTTATATACTTCAGCAGTTTCTGATGTTTGTCATGTGACAGATGC